TACTGTCTGTACCCACGACTTTAAAAGAAAGCTGGGCACGATCCACACCTTTCGTTTTTATCCGCCATAACGACATTATTTTTATTTGCCTATTGAGATTAACGGCTTTCTTTCGCACTTTGTTGGTAATATTGCGACTGGAATGGGCTAAAACTAAAACTTTAAATTAGTTTAAGAGGGGCTACGAAGCACATTTTGATCCCCCAATGCCAAGTAAAGTGCCCAAGTTATATAGATTCCTTGATACTTCAGACATTATTATCATTATCACTTCATTCCTGAGATTTAAAATGATATTCTGTTGGTCTGATTTCATTTTCACAACTTGGTCGGAGCATTAGGGAGACCTCGTGGAACGCACCTTGTCATGTCTCCTCTGTCGTACTATTCGTGATTTCCAGCACTGCACCATTGTTTTAATACACCACAAAACATTTCGTCGGGATCGTTAGTGAGAAGATGCCTTCTGCAGAATGCTTATCATATTTTAATGATGCGTTCCATTGTTCTCATTTCATGTGTGTACCTTATTTGAACAACTGATTATTATTATGGCTTGACTCTCCATTTCGAAGCGGAAGTGGGTTGAAGATTGTCAAAGACTGTCGAAATTTGCGAATTTCCTTTCGAAATGTAGAGTCATGCCACAATGTTTCATTAAGGAATTCTTTGAAACCCAGTTTTTCTTTATAACTGGTTGTTATATCATATCATAAGATTTCTCAACCTCTTTCTATGCCTGCGCTGAAAGTCTTTGACGGCATCGCTCATAAGAATTTGGCTCATGCTAATCCAGGTTGATTCTGTCCTGTATATTTCCAGTCACCTTATTTTAGCCGGTCAACAGAAGCTCAGGTAAAATGAAGTCTCTACTCCATCTACACTTTGCTCCTGGGCCTTTATGCTTGTCCGAGTCACTATCTGCGATTAGGTATAGTAGATGGAGCCTTTTTTGCATTCAACTTTGTCCACTGGCAGTTTTATATTCGGCATCATTGTTCTCATATTTTCTGTTAGTGTTTTCATAACTATGAATTTAAACGGAAATATAAATTTTCAATTTTTTCTATA